TCTCTCCTTTTTCCAGCCATTTTTTTTTTTTGTTTTGGAAACCCATCAAACAGTGGATCGTCACTTTTCAATTTACACACAGAACGAATAATAAACTGTGTAAGTGTTTTAGTTAGTTTATAAGCGTTTAATTTGAGCTTAAACTCTTCATAAGAACTGATAGCTTCCCCAATTTCCTTTGGGGAGCCACCCCCCTCTTGAAAATCAAAGGATAAACTCCAACCGGAAACCGGAAACTGGGAGTCCAAATCAAAATTTTTTTAAAAAATATATATTCAAGCCCCGATTTGGGGGGGGGGGGGGGGGGGCAGAATAAAGACCAGATTAATGTCACCCCGTTGGCAGAATAACGACTTTCTTTCATTTTGTTGGTATTTCTAATTGAAGGAAAGAATTTTTAGAGACTTTCCATTTTGGAGGACAAGGTTCATTTAAACAAATCTAATTGTCTCAAATATTCAAGAAGAGGAAACCAACTATTGAGGTGACAATTAACCAGTACTTTTGCGGGGGGAAAATCACTTTTCTTTCTTTTTTTTTTTCTTAGAGCACAAATTGGCATGATTCTTGATGAGATGAAGGAAATGAAAACAAAGATGACGGAAATGAAAACACAGATGACAGAAATGGACACCAAGTTCAACGACCTGAGGACCCGCGTAGATAACTCTAAAGCCGCCTTTACAGAAGCCACCACAAGCTATGGGAACAGTCACTACATACTTTCCAAGCCAACGTTTCGGAACGTCGCAGAAGGAAACCGACTCTGCCGACTTTATGGCGGATATCTGGCAGAAATCAATGACAGGCAGGAGTTCGATTATCTCGCTGATTATTTATCTCACATCACTTCTACTGCTGAAGGTGTCATGCTCGGTGCTACAGACGAAGGCCAAGAGGGGACGTGGAGATTTCTTACCTCAGGTGGAAACATGTCTACTCTTGTGTGGCTTCCCCACGAACCCAACGGGGGAACTCGTGAAAATTGCCTGTGTATCTGGAAAGCTACTAAGCTCATGGTTGACTGTACGTGTCTTCATACACCCGTTTTGCTAGCACACTTTCTGTGCGAAATCCCTGTTTGAATTGTAAATTATGTGTGAAATCTCTGTTTGAATTGTGAATTCTGAGCGAAATCTCTATTTGAATGGTGAATTCTGTGTGAAATCTCTGTTTGAATTGTGAATTCTGAGCGAAATCTCTATTTGAATGGTGAATTCTGTGTGAAATCTCTTTTTGAATTATGAATTCTTTGCGAAATCTCTTTTTGAATTATGAATTCTGTGCGAAATCTCTTTTTGAATTATGAATACTGTGCGAAATCCCTGTTTGAATTGTGAATTTTGTGTAAAATCTCTTTTTGAATTATGAATTCTGTGCGAAATCTCTGTTTGAATTATGAATTCTGTGCGAAATCTCTGTTTGAATTGTGAATTTTGTGTAAAATCTCTTTTTGAATTATGAATTCTTTGCGAAATCTCTTTTTGAATTATGAATTCTGTGCGAAATCTCTTTTTGAATTATGAATACTGTGCGAAATCCCTGTTTGAATAGTGAATTCTGTGCGAAATCTTTGCTTATATTATGAAACCTTGGTCAAATCAACAATTTTAACTTGGTTCCTTTTTTTATTTCATTGTTAACCGAAGGAAAAAATTTTGAGAGCATTTCCATATTGAAGGAAATGGCTGTATTTAATCAGGTCTAATTACAGATTAAAGCTAATATTCTACATTTAGATTTGACGTTTTGTTGACTTTGTTTGAATTCTTTCAGTCAGTATATCATTATCATATCAGTAAAAAAAAAACGTGCAACGTCTTGATAGCCGTGTATTGGTTATTACATTGTATCTTACTACTAATGGAGCTAAGGCCAAATTTTGCGAACAGTATATTCTCAAAAACTACCGAATTAAGAAATATGAAACTTTGCCAGTACCCATAACTTGAAACGTAGTGTTGCACTATTGTATTTTCATTAAGATGAAATGTGTAAGAAGAAAGCTCAGTTTAAGTTAATTTCAGTCCTTTTGTAGCGATCGCCATCATTTGCTTCGACTTTGTATATTCACTGCGGAGTGCCAACTGCGCCAAAGTGTATTTTGTGTTCAGTTGTACATAAAGTAGATTTACGGGAATTCCCGGTTTCGGTCTCACGCCTTTAGGAGGAGGAGGAAGAGGAGGAGGAGGAAGAGGTGTAGGTGTGGATGGACGAGGAGGAGAAATGAAGAAGAAGAAGAGAAGAAGAAGAAGAAGAAGAAGAAGAAGAAGAAGAAGAAGA